GAAACCGCTCTCTGTGGCCTGGAGATGAGTTGTAATTCTGGGCGAACTTCAGGTTTCACCTGGAAGTTGGCAACCCTAACTGGGGGAGAGACGTGGCCCTGGACATGGTCATGCCTGAGCCTGCCTTGGCCCCTCCCCAAAGGAATCCAGGTGGCTCGGCCCCTCCCTCACCTCGTGACAAAGCCCCAGGGGGGTGCATTCCATTGGTTGCTGGGGTGAGGCTGGGGAGATGCCTTCTTTCCTGACCAGCCCTCCTTCTCTGTGCTTTATGGCTGTCTCACTGGACTGGGCTGGCCTTAGCAGGGGTGGCCACAGTGGGGGACAGCCCCCCTGGACATTGGCTGTCTGGGGTAGTTCCCAGTGGCCTCAATGGCCAATCTGCCTGTGTTAGAGTTGTACCTGGAGAAACAGCGATCGTTGTATGTCTATTCAATTATTAACAAAGGTATTGACTACTTGGATGGGAGACCTCCTTGAAATACCAGAGGTGGGAGGCGGGGGCAGGCTTTATTCAGCCACCTTTATGAATATCCTCCGTGCCCCAGGTAGGGGTCAGTCACCAACGGTTGTGATGACTTCCAGATGCTCACACACACACACACACACATAAAATAGGGTGGGGACCAAAACAAAGGTACTGACTCTTCTACAAACATCGGGGCAAACAGCTTCCATGGATTTTGCATTCCCAAGTGTGTGTGTTTTTTCCCCCTGTCCCCACCTTACATTTTATGCTGTACCCTTACCTAACACTGAAAATCACTATGTGCAAAGCAGTTCTTAAGGAAGAGGAACAAAACTTAAAAATATATATATCTTCCCTCAGGCTATATTCCACTTAGTGTTCTTTAATTGACTGGAGGCAGTTGCAGTTTCAAGAGGGCCAGGGAACAATGCTCCCTTTAAGCTGTAGAGTCCTGTGAGCAAAAATTCTACTCTGTGAGCTACTAGCATTGAAGTTGTGAGCAGGTGATTTGGCTGCTGCATAAATTAGTTTGCTCTGGAGCCATCCTCCCTGAGCGAAGACAAAAATGTGTGAGCCAGAGGCTAAAAAACTGTGAGCTAGCTCACACTAACTCAGCTTAGAGGGAACACTGGAAGAGGGTCCGTTTAACCCTTTCTGCTGCCTCTATTCCTTTGCAGAAAATTGCTCAAACTGATTTCAGTGGAGGGGGAATGCAGGTATCTTGTGCTGTTTGGGAAGGACTAGTTTTCAACAAAGCAATGAGACGAAGGGAAGGAATTAATGAGCTCATCTCCTATGTGTCAGTAAAGGGCTGTGAAGTTGCAGCCAACTTATGGTGGACCCTACCCCCGGTGGTTTTCAAGGCCAAAAGTCCGAAAGACCTCATCAAAGCCATCTTCGATGGGAACCCGGAAGAACTCTCGTACTTGGTGTTTCGGGTGATGAAGTTTGTGGAGAGATCGGGTCACCTGTTCCCAGATGACAGCAGCCGTGTGGATGTGGTGGCAGCACGGCTCCGGGGACCCACGGCGGCTTGGTATGTGGGGCTGCACAATGCCCAGGGCCCGGAATGGATTAATTTGGACGCTTTTATGTGGGCGTTGCGAGCCCAATTCGAAGACCGGAATGCCGGGCCCAAAGTGAGGGCATTCCTATGAACCCTTAAACAAGGTAGACGATCGGTGAGGGACTACTCGTCTGAATTCAAGCTCCACGCGGCCAAGGTGCAAAATTGGCCTGATCCTGTGTTAGCGGAACTATACAGAGTGGGTGGGGCGGTGATGACTCACAAACAGGCTTGTCTGGCTGCTCCACCCCCTGCACCGCTGCCAACGGGACCTACAGGGGTGGGTGAGGGGAAAAAAGAGTTTTGGCACAGTAAATTTGCCTCCGCTTTTTCAGAGGAGGATAAAGCAGTTATGGAAGCGGAGGGAGGTTTTGAACTCAGGGAAAATGGCTGTTGGTACCGGGGTCATAAGATGTTCGTTCCCCTCTCCCTCAGGGGGAAGGTGTTACAGGCAGTGCATGGCTCCAAAGTATCCAGACATTCGGGCTTTGTTAAATCACTGGAGCTGCTCCAACAGCAGTTTTGGTGGCCCCATATGCACAAGGATTTATCCTCGTTTGTTCAGTCGTGCCTGAACAAACGAGTAAACTGTGGCCGGGAAAAACCCCGGGGCTATTGCACCCACTTCCGAACCCGAGTCAACCCTGGGAAGTCATTTCAATGGATTTTATAACTGACTTACCACCAAGCAAATCTATGACTGTAATTTGGGTGGTTGTGGATCTCTTTTCCAAACAAGCACACTTCATCCCGTTCACTTCATTACCTACGGCCAAAGCACTGGCAAAAGCGTTTCTCATGCACTTGGTGAGACTACATATGCTCCCCACTAAAGTGATATCCGACAGGGGAACCCAATTCGTCTCCCAGTTTTGGGGGGAGCTGATGAAACTGATGGGATTAACGAGACCTTGGAACAATATTTGCGTTGTTTTGCCAACTATCAACAAGACAATTGGCATGACTTCTTACCCCTAGCTGAATTCTGTTATAATAATACGTGTCACTCCTCGATGGGGATGTCCCCGTTTAAGGCATTGTATGGTTATGACAGCTCACCCATCCCATTTCTGGAATGGGATACGGACATGGGACCAGGGGATGCAGCCCAATGGTGTAAACAATTGAGGGACTCTTGGCCTCTTTTAAGCAAAACGTTGGCTGTGGCGAAAGAGGCCTACAAAACGCAGGCTGATAAGAGAAGGGTGGAGGGTTGGGCTCTACAGCCTGGTGACTCTGTGTATGTTTCTACAAAAAATATCAACATGTTGAGGCCTAGTTGGAAGTTGGGATGGAAATACATTGGGCCGTTTAAAGTTAAAAGGATCATCAATGATGTTGCCATTGACGTGGACTTGCCGAAAAAGTTGAGAAAATGGAATTCTGTATTTCATTTCAGCCTCTTGAAGAGAGATACGGGTTCCTGTCCCTGGCATCCAGTGAAACCGGTTCCCCCTCCTATAATGATTGAGGGTGAGGAGCATTACGAAATATCAAGGATTCTGGACTCTAAAATGAAACAGGGAAAATTGCTGTATTTGGTGGAATGGGTGGATTTCGGACCCCAGCATCTTGAATGGGTGGAAGTAGGGGATATTCGGGCCCCTGAACTGTTGCGGCAGTTCCATCTGGAGTTCCTGGACAAACCGGGAGATCTCCCGGACAAACTGGAATGACCGGGAGACCTCCCGAAATGGTTGGGACAAGCTGATTTTTGAGAGGGCAGTATGTCAACTATGCTTGCCATGGGTGTTGGGGAGTTCATTCTGTGTCTTGTTAATTGTTATTGCATTCCTATCCCTGCTGCTATGCCTTTGCTGTAATGCTTATCTCTACAGATGTGCAGGAGGAGGTTGTGTTGTCTGGAGGGCTCCTATGTACCGTGAGAGACTCCTGGTTCTCAGCTTTAGCCACCTAACAGTTGCCTGACTTAACCCGCGCGTGGGAGGGTCCCTAATTGGCCAATGCCATGGGGGGGGGTGCATACGAAAACCCTATATCCTTTTTTGTTCTAGTGGCTGTGGCCATTCCTAACAGTGCCTGTGTTACTGCATCTATAGCTTTGCAATAAAAGTATAACTGTTCCTGAATGTGTGTACTTCGTTGTTAGCTGTGGGTTCTGACAGTGACTGGCATTAAAGCTGTGAGTGAGCGAGTTGGCTGCTGCATGAATCAGTTTGCTCTGCAGCTCTCCTTCGTGAGCGAAGGCAAAACGGTGTGAGCCAGAAGCTAAAAAACTGTGAGCTGGCTCACACGAACTCAGCTTAGAGGGAACACTGCTCCCAACCCTGCTTAACTTCGGAGATCAGATAAGACTGGGCTAGCATGAGCCATCCAGGACAGGGCAGAGGCAGACAAAGGTGGTTGGCCATTTCCTGCTTCTGCATAGAGACCCTGGTCTCCCTTGGTGGTCTCCCAGCCAAGATCTAACCAGGACCAATGCTGCTAAGTAGTAGTAGTAGTAGTAGGATATTGGATTCATATCCCGCCCTTCACTCAGAGCGGCTTACAACTTCCTTTGCCTTCCCCTCCTCGCAACAGACACCTTGTGAGGTAGGCGGGGCTGAGCGAGCTCTTTCCAGAACTGTCCTTGAGAGAACAGCTCTGACAGAACTGTGGCTTGCCCAAGGTCATCCAGCAGCTGCAAGTGGAGGCGTGGGGCTGCAAGTGCTTAGCTTCCTAGATTTGACAAGGCTGGGCCAGCCTGGGGAATCTGGTACCTTCTGTTTTTTAAAAAGTGTACTGAAAGTAAGGGGTGCTGCTCCGCTCTAATGGGGCCTTAAAGCAGCCGTTTCCATTCTCCTTTCTGTGTTGAGTCCATCCACCAGTTCAGTCTCCACCATATGATTTCGAACAAGGCTTTAATAGTATCGTCGAAAGGACGCTATAAATCTCAGCACGCACTCTAGTTAGAAATAGCTCCCCAAACCCCATCCCCCCAAAACCTCCACGGATCCCCCGACCTGGAGTTGGCAACCTCAGGCGGCAGCGAGTTGCGCACGGACTTCGGCCACCGCGCGCGCTTGGGCTCCCTTACTTTTCATACTTTCCCCGGGCGGGTTCCGCAGCCAATGAGGAGGCTCCTTTCCCGGCCCCCTCCGCCTCCCTTGCTCCCCCCCCCCGCACTCGGGGGCGGGTCAGGCGAGCGCTCAGCCAACCGGCGCCGGCCTGCCTCCTCCCGGCTCTCCCCTCCCCTCCCGGCTCAGCCCTTTTAAGGACGCGCCGAGGCGAGGAGCCCGGCAGGCGGGGAATAGCCGTCGGCTTCGTCGGCCGATGCTTTGCGAGCAGTTGGGGGGCCAGAGAACCGCCGCCGCCGCCGCCCTCTGTCGGCCGTCGGGGGTGGAGTCCGCGCCTCCCCTTCTGTACTTGGGTCCCGCTCCGCTGCGGGGTGGCGCGATCCCCACCGCCGCCGCCCGCCCTGCCCTCCCCATGCCGCTGAGCCGCCGCTCCCCCCAGTGAGCCCGAGGCATGCTGCCGGGCGGCCGCCGCTTCGTCTGCACCTCGCTGCCTCTGGACGCCGCCTGCCCGCTGCCCGCCGCGCCCGCCCCGGGGGTCGGCCTGGCCCCCGAGGAGGAGCTGAAGGCCACCGTCCTCCGCCTGCGGGAGACCATCCTGCAGCAGAAGGAGACGCTGGGCCAGCAGCGGGAGACCATCCGCGAGCTGACCGCCAAGCTGGGCCGCTGCGAGGGCGGGCCCGACGGCAAAGGGGGGCCCTGGAGGAAGGAGGGCAAAGGGAAGGACACCATGGGCGATCTGCCCCGCGACCCCGGCCAGGTCATCGACCAGCTCAGCCGCACCATGCAGACCCTCAAGGACCGCCTGGAGAACCTCGAGGTGAGGCGAGCCCCCCCACCCGCAGGACGACGCTGTCCCCGGTGCTGGAAACTCCCCCGGGCGCTGTCCTCGGTCCTGAAACCGGGCTTGGGGGGGAAGGAGGCGCCGTCCGTGGTGCTGAAACCTGCACTTGGGAATGAGGGCGGAGGCAGAGTTCGGAAGAGAAGAGAAGGGAGGGCAAGACGGGTTGCATCCGATGCTCCCTCTAAGCTGTGGAGTCTTGTGTGCAAAAATTCTACTTTGTGAGCCACTGGCATTAAAGTTGTGAGCGAACCATTTGGCTGCTGCATCAATTAGCTTGCTCTGGAGCCATCCTTCCTGAACTAAGACAAAAATGTGTGAGCCGGAGGCTAAAAAACCCTGAGCTAATTCACACTAACTCAGCTTAGAGGGAAAACTGGTTGCATCAGTGCTTAGTTCTCGTGGCCCTTTCTCACATGCCCAGGGAAATGCCGGCCACCACTTTGGGGTCAGGAAGCAATTGTTCCCCAGGCCATTTTGGCCAGGGATCCTGGTGGGTTGTCCCCCCCCTTCTGGACATAGAGCAGGGGTCACTGGGGCTGGGGGGACATATTTCTGAATTCCCTGCATTTTTCAGGGGGTTGGACTAGATGACCCTGGAGATCCCTTCCAGCTTTATGATTCTATGTGAGCGCAGCCTCAGTTAGTGGTGACCAACCTCTGGGGTAGGGCAACCCACCCGTCACAATTTACTCAATACAGCGACCCACTTGTATGTGTTAAGTGCTGTGGAGACACTTCCGACATCAGTGTAGCACACCAGATGAGGTAGCTTTGTTTATATATGTATGCTGATGACACATGACACATCAATTCTGAATTATGGTGACTCTATGGATGAATGATCTCCAGAGTGTCCTATGCTTAACAGCCTTACTCAGGTCTTGCAAACTTAAGGCCATGGCTTCCTTGATGGAGCCCATCCATCTCATGTTGGGTCTTCCTCTTTTCCCTTTGACTTTTCCTAGCATTATTGTATTTTCCGGTGACTCTTGTCTTCTCATGATGTGCCCAAAGTCCGAGAGCCTTTGTTTAGTCCTTTGGCTTCTAGGGAGAGTTCAGGCTTGAGTTGATCTAGAATTCACTGGTTTCTCTTTGTGGCAGTCCACGGTATTCTGTAACGCTCTCTTTCAACACCACATTTCAGATGAGTCAACCCACTTGAGCAAAGCCCAAATGGATAACAACTGCAAAAACGTAGAGTCCCCTTTCACAGGCTTTGGTGGTGTAAAGTGTTGTTGAATCACAACTGACCTGCTGACCCCATAGAGTTTTCATGGCAAGAGATATTTAGAGGTGGTTTGCCGTTGCCTGCCTCTTCATAGTGACCCTGGACTTCCTGGGTGGTCTCCCATCCAAACATTAACCAGGGCCAACCCTGCTTAGCTTCCAAGAGCTGATGAGATTGGGCTACCCTGGGGGGTTTGGGGCTACCCTGGGGGTTTTTGGACCCACAAACTGGGAAAGGCTTCCTTGGGTGCTCTGTGAGAAACAAAGCTAGAAACAACAAACTAAAAGGTGGGCAGAGCCTCTTCATCCATTGCGTGGGGCAGCATGAACTAGAACATATCGGGAATTTAAGACTCTCTCCCCTTTGGGATCCAACTGGGTCCCAGGTTTCCTTTCTCATGACATGGCTTAAACTAGCACCCCAAAGCATGAAAAATTGCATCTTCTCCCATTGCCTGTGGTTGTTCACAAACCCACACATGTAAAGAGAAAAGTACACCATGAGATGTGAAAGATCTGTGACACTTCTGTGCCGAGCCTGAGCTTTGCGCATATATGCACTACGTGTGGAGATATATGCACATGTGACATATACGCCACAGAATGTATGGAGATAGATGCACCTGTCTGGCACTTAATGCATCTGGTGATGAGCTCTAGACCCACAAAAGCGAAAGTCACAATAAATCTGTTAGTCTCTAAGGTGCTACAAGGTTCCTCCTTATGACAGGGAGCGGTGTGGTGAGGCTACTTGATGGGAGGTAAGAAAAAAGAAGAGTCCGTCATTAAAACTTTTCTCCTAGCGACGGCTCTCGGGAAACATCTCGTCAGCTCACATGCAGACAGATGCCATGTGTGTTTTTTAAAAGGCTGGGGGGGGGTTTTTTGGGGGGGAGAGAACAGTGTGCCAGCCAATTTACTCACACAGCCAAATCTGTGAACCCTTCCGCACCCTGGACAGCGATACCACCGTATCTATTCTGTGCATCGCCTGGCATGCTAATAAATCAGTGCCGAGGATTAGTTCTAACAGCTGTATCAGGAAATGGGGATGGGTAATACCTCCCCCCTCCCCCGACCTGGCTGGCCCCGGGCTAGCCTGATCTTGACAGCGCTCTGAAGCTAAACAAGTTTGTACTTGGATGGGAGGCCACCAAGGGAGTCCAGGGTTGCTACAGAGAGGCAGGCGATGGCAAACCATCTTTGTCCATCTCACGCCTTGAAAACACTGCAGGGTCTCCACATGTCAGCTGTTAACTTGAGAGCACTTCCATCCTTCCAGAAGTGTCCAGAAATATAAATGTGGCTCTACAATCCAGAGTGTCATGCCAGATATTTTGGTTTCCTGTCTGCTGAGTTGAGCACTGCTCATGATTCTATTACTGGGTTACTGGCCTTTGGAGTGTTCCTCATTATTTCCCCCACCTCTCTCCTTTCTGCCATGTGTGCACAGATGGGTGATGCTTCTAAACCACCCTTCTTTTCTCCTTCTGGGCAGCTGTAGGCACTTCACTCTCACCCCCCCGGGGGGGGGACTTCTGTCACTTGCTAAATATATATGTAATAGATTACCAGGGGTGCAATTAGCAGAGTTGCGGCCCAGTGGGAGACTGGAATAAACAAGCACGCTTTCCCGGAATCTCTATAGTGACACTGTCTTCTCGGTCCCTCCCCCCCCCAAATGCAGCTTATGTTTGAATGAAACGTGTTCCCGAAGTTCTCTGGAAAAGAGAGCTCATTCCCCGCTCCCTTCCAGGCATAGGAGAGGGAGAAGACCGCGTTTGCAAACACTAGCTTTCAGAGAGGGGATCCGTATTGCATGGCTGTCTTGTGGAAAAATCTATTGCAACAAGTAAAGTTTCCAGACCTGGGTTTTAGTTGTCCATAGTTTAAAGTCCCCCCCCCCAGCACGAAAAGAACAGATGCTCTGTTTGTTGTCTTCCAAGAAAATGGATGGAGAGGGGATTTGTGGGGCTTTATTTTCCTGATTTGTTGTTTTCCAGGCTCCCTCCCCTTTTAATCTGTTCTAGGACAAAGAGCACGGTTGAAGTGTAGCATAGACATCACAGATCATAAGACCTGGGCATATGGGGGCCACATGTGAGCATTCGCTTTAAAAGAATAAGCATGTTTTGCTGAGAGCTGGGAAAGATGTTGAGAATGAAGACGCACAACCTGATAGAGAAAAAATAGAATGAAAACAGAGGGAATGTTCTAGCTGTACCTCTCTGCTTTGACTGCTTACTTATGTATACTTATTCACAGTATGGTACAATTCCTCTCTTAATCCAGCTGTCTTCTTGGCAGACAGAATTAAAAACTTTTTTTTTAAGCAATCAATGCAAAAGTGAGCAATCCATTTGAAACAGCAATTGCTACAGCGTTGCCACCACGTACTGGGGAAATCTCACACTGATAAAATATCGAAGATGACGCCTATTGAGGTCAGGCATATAATAAGGAGGCTTTTTCTTATCAAGAAAAAAACCCCTGCATTGTCAGTAACGTAGAAATCTCGGACATCTTCCTTCATCAGCCGTAAAATATGTTTGCTGTAGATTTGCTCTCCAATGTATCTGATGAATTGAGTTCTGATGAACTGAGAGCTCCTGACGGAATATATCTTTGTGAGTCTTCAAGACGCTAATGGTGGCACTGATAAGCGTTCTGTTCTGATGTAATTTCATTTGGCCTTACCAGATCTTAATTGTTATTGGGGGGGAAACAGTGGCCTGACCTAGCACAGGTACAGAAAGAAAATGAGCTTTGCAAGAAGCAGAGCTGAACCATGGTTAATGTGATATTTCTGCTCAGAAATCACAATGCACAGGGTCTCAGACACTATGGTTTGATGGAATGCTAGTCAGTTTGGGATGTCTGAATGCAGTGAATCCAGCCAATCGGGGGTTTGTTGTTTGGCATCCAAACTGGGAGTTCAGACAAGGCTTTCTAGCTGGTTGGTTAACCGCAGTTTGCACCAATTGTGGTTTGGTGTGACGTCTGCAAATTTAAACCACCATTTGTTGCATAGTTTCAGAGGGGAGCCGTGTTGGTCTGCAGTCAGACAGCTAGATTCAAATCCAGAAGCACCTTAGAGACCAAAAAGATTTTGGGGGTATAAGCTTTGGGTTTTTTTTTGAGTAGCCATATCACTCTGCAGTAGAACAGTTTGATTTCAGTACAGCAGCACCTTAGAAACCAACAAGATATTCTGGGTAGGAGCTTTTGTGAGTCAAAGGACGCTTGCTGGCCAAAAGGACCACCATCTGGGGAAGGTCTCCTCTTACACAAAGCAGAGTTTACGCACAAGCCAGGATTCCTTACTGACATACAACAGACTAAACAGAATTTGTGGCCTGAAAACCTAGTTTGTTGCTTGACATGCTTTTATCGCAACATTTGAATTTATTCGTCACAGCGTTTGAATGCAGCCGTTCATATGTAACACCTCGTCTGGAGATGGGTTTGTAATGTTCCCGGTCTGAAGCCCTCATTCTTCAAACATCGAATACCTTTCTGAGAAACCTGGTTTTTGGGATATACTCCAGTGCCATCAAGAAAATACAGATTTTTGACATCTCGCTGTTTGCCGATGTTAAAAAAAAGTCTGGTTACAATCAAAGGCATATGCTCCAGACATAAAGCCTTACCTCTTATAAAGAATGCTTTTGACCCCTAGGAGATTTCTTCCTGATGTTTGGGGTTGCCCTGAGACCTCCCACCCCTCTTTGGTTCCATTAGACCATGCGGAGAGTTCTTTTGCTCAGTCCCGTCACTGTAGAGTGCCCCTTCTGTGTGACACTTGTCAAAAGCCACTTTAGAAAGCGGCCTTTGAAAAGGAGGCAGAGGCTCAATTCAGGCCAGCAGATTTGTCTGCATGTTGGGATTAGTGAAAGTCCCTGAGGCTGATGGAGACTGAGGTTTGATTTCATAATTCCTTCCTTCCTTCCTTCCTTCCTTCCTTCCTTCCTTCCTTCCTTCCTTCCTTCCTTCCTTCCTTCCT